AATGCTTCGCGCAAATGAAAGTTGTGTTGTAATTGGATGACTCATGCCTCTTGATGCGAGGGGTGGGAGAGAGTTTTTTTCGCCCTCCGGTTTTTTGTACGGTCATTGATTATTTTTTGTTCGCGGAGCGGGCCCCGGGGCGCTGATGGCTGGGTGAGGGATGGGAGATGACGAGAGCGGGGAGATGGTGAGGGAGGGGAGATGGTGAGGGATGGGAGGTAGTGAGGGATGGGAGGTGGTGAGGGATGGGAGGTGGTGAGGGAAGGGAGGTAGTGAGGGATGGGACGTGGTGAGGGATGGGAGGTGGTGAGGGATGCGAGGTGGCAAGGGAGGGGAGATGGTGAAGGAGGGGAGGTGGTGAGGGATGGGAGGTGGCAAGGGAGGGGAGATGGTGAAGGAGGGGAGGTGGTGAGAGAGGGGAGATGACGAGGGAGGGGGGATGACGAAGGAGGGGAGATGGTGAGGTATGGGAGGTGGTGAGGGAGGGGGGATGGCGAGGGAGGGGAGGTAGTGAGGGATGGGAGGTGGCAAGGGAGGGGAGATGGTGAAGGAGGGGAGATGGTGAGGGAGGGGAGGTAGTGAGGGATGGGAGGCAATGAGGGATGGGAGATGACGAGGGAGGGGAGATGGTAGTGAGGGGAGATGGTAGTGAGGGGAGATGGTGTGAGGGGAGATGGTGAGGGAGGGGAGGTAGTGAGGGATGGGAGATGACGAGGGCGGGGAAATGGTGAGGGAGGGGAGGTGGTGAGGGAGGGGAGATGGTGAGGGAGAGGAGATGGCGAGGGAGGGGAGATGGCGATAGAAGGGAGGTGGTGGGGAGTGGGGAGAGCGGGAGCACGCGTGGCGGGCATGAAATCTTTGATGGATTTGTGTGCTTGTCTCGGCGCACCGCGGGGACACTACGATGACGCCCACTGCACTGCTGTGTGAGTCCGTGCCGTAGTCGTGTGCTCTTTATCCCCGCAGCTCTCTGATTCCTAACGGATTGATGTAACCTCGACCAGACGAGCGGCTACGGTACGCAAGGCTTATGTTGTTGCTGTGCATGGGAGGTAGCGACGCTAACATAGCTATTGCTGTGTGTATGTATGTGTGTGTGCGCGCGTGTGTGTGTGTGTGTGTGTGTGTGTGTGTGTGTGTGCGTGCGTGCGTGTGTGTGTGTGTGTGTGTACTGTTTTCGGCACTATTCTGTCCGCAGTGCTGCACACGATATGTATAGTGAAGTAAGAACTGATTCCATGTTATCCGCGTTGTGCAATGTTGACGCAGCAGCAGGAGTAGATCGGACCGCCGGGTTCAACCGCAGCAATGGCTGCATGCATGCGCGTCTGCATGACCCGTTACACGTATCGGTGTCGGCGGAGGGCAATATTTACTGTGCGGGCGATGTTGTTGTGTTTGCCGTGGCCGGAATTTACTAGCAATTATGCGGCGGGCGACTGTTTACGAAACACTCGTCGCGACCAGTGTTTGATCTGTCTCGCCAGCAGCCTCGGCCTCAGCCTCAGCCTCAGCAGCTCCGCGGCATTCATTCATGATCTCTCAGCTAAGCTAGGATGCGACGCCGTCTGTTTGTTTGTTGTGCTGTGCTGCTCTTTGTACGCGCTGGTGCTCTCTGTCTCTGTCTAGCTTATTGCTGGACTTACCGCTGGACCCGACGGTCTAGTTACAACCGTGCGGACACGTGCGTGGTGCTCTGGCAAGTGATTGTCGTGCAATAGGAATTCCGTGCCGGCCGCCATTACTCTGGTTCATCATCTGTGGTTAATTTCTACAATCCAGAGAGACATGATACAAGATTGCGTGGCACAGCTTTGCTGTTGATACTAAGCTCTGCGCGCGGATGAGACGCGGAGTTCCGCGGGATATGCGCACGCGACCGCGGGGATGTTCAAGTATGAAGCGCTGTCCGCAGTAGAGACGTGCGCCAAATTCGAGGCCCGGCGCACGTCTCCACAGCGGTCAGCGGATGACCTGTAGTTTTAGATGATAACAATGAAGACTTTGTTCTAAATAAGAACTATCGGCGGCTAAATAAGAGCAATATACAGACCTTGTAATTTCTTGACTAGTCAGTCAAAGGGCTTGTTAGGGGTCCATTATGCAGAGCTTCCAATTGAAATGGCCCATAAAATTGTCAAGTAGAATTATGTTTTTCGGAACCCCAAAGAAAATGTCTCCCTCTTACATGCATCCCCTCCCTGATCAATAACGCATTCAGGCGTAAACAATAACAGAGATGAAATTGTGTTGAGTTTATGGCTCTTGACGCACGTGCATTGGCGTACAAGACTGATGAAAGCACAGGCACTTGGAACGTCTCAATAAAAATAAATCTTTACACAATTTTTTACAATGTGTCGAATCGACCGCCTGTGTGCAAAATAGGTGAACGTATGTGAAACATATACGGTTAGTACTTACTGTGACATATCCGTGACGAACTGACACCACTAAATTAGTAAAATTTTCCATGCACCTTAAATGCTGAGAAATTACGAGGTTATTATCGCACTCGACTCCGACACCGCCCATCCGGATGTCACAAAGCTATATGTAAACAAACACGCGTGTTGCGAGGTGCGTGCCTCCGATATCCATTTTGAGGCCCGCTAAGCCAAGCATAAAGTGCGCGGGCAAGACGTCACACACAGCTACGTTCACTGGCTAAAACAATCGAGTAGCGCGGTTAGGGATTTTCGGAATTATGTAATTTTAAGAAAAACTTCAATGTTCAATGAATGATGCACTCGTTCACTTCCGAAAGCGGGTAAAAATGCCTAATTTTTCCACTTCGGTGCGAAATGCATCGGCCGGGCCTTTCATTATTTACGAAAAGCAACAGTCTCGCCAAACACCTACACGCAGTAACGGGTCACGTCGTTGACGCCCACTTCATGCCAATCAACGAAGAGGGGTGGGGCTTCTGATTACGGAAATGCGAAACGTCAATATAAGGACGGAGCGCAGTGCGCTAAACAGCGCGTTATTTCGTATTTGTGCCAAACTCTATCGTGGGAAACCGTTCTAGCCTAGCAGAATGCCCTAGTTCCTGAGATCGGCGATTTGGTCATCCAATTGGTCCCCATATTTAAAAATATAAAACACTGGTGCGGCGTAGGCTGTGATTGGAAGACACAAAGTATCAATCCTCGGCGCGGCTCGGCATCATGGCCGCAGCGCGCGCTCGCGAAAGCTTTCTAGAAAAATTAGAATTAGAATTCGACGGGGGAATTATATACAGCACGAGAATGGCATGCGATGTGTTTTTAGATGAAGTAAGTTTCGGACAACGATTTCGTTTCCGGTTTTACGTATATAGTCGGCGTTCGGGAATGCAAGACATTCAGCACTGCTTGGGACGCGTCTATCTCCGCATTCTTGTATGTATGCCAAATTCTTAATTGGATTTATACTGTAACAAAATTCTGCGTGTCCATTATCAGGGGACTCGGCAAAGCACTTTATCACTATAGTTGCCTGATGACAAGCCAGATAAAACTGCTGATGTCAATCGCCGTCTCTATGCAAATGCATTACGATTGGCGTCGATAGAAGGCGCCACCATACATGTATATAGCGAGAATTATATAATCGAGAAATAATAAATGGCGAAACAGGTCCGATAGTTTAATAGTTTAATATGAGAACCAAGCTTGCCTTGTTATTCTATCTATATAGCAGCTATAGCCACAGCGATCTTTTATAGACGCGCCATTATAGAAGCGCTAGCTGTGACTATTGCTACTATAGCATTCCTAGCGAATTACACTGATAACAGCTAGAAAAAAAGAAAAAAAGAGAGCCCAGTTTCCCAGTTTCCCGGCAATTTCAGGAGCCTTCAGAGTATCCGACCCATCACTATCACCACGATTCTTCATTACTTCTCGTATCGCACTTAAACACTCAAAAAATACTCAAGCGCTTCATATCATTTCGTTGCAAGCGTCAAATGTTGCTGTTTCGAACCCCGGGCCCACCCCACCCCCATCGCCGCCGCCGCCGCCGCCACACCTTGACAGTAATTCCATCGCATTGTTGTGATCGGTTCACTCAGAGAATCCCGATCGGGAGTTCACCCGCAACTACCTACTACTTATAGCTTTAGGGTTAAATAATCTCAAATAATCTTTTTAATGTCACAAATAAGTCTCCTTATTAGCTCTTTTACATCTCAAATTAATCGCTCTTTTTTATCGCAATTTTAAATATCTTTAATAAGCCTGATATGATATCTCAAGTAAGCTCTAAACGATTATCTGAAATCATCATAAGTAAAGCACTCTGCGATGACACATCAATGGTCAGCAAGCATGCAGTGGAGAGAACTCGCGATTTCAAGCCGATGCATGATTTCCTTTGAGATTATTAACACACACCCCTCCCTGTAATAAAAAGCGTACACGTACATCCTCAACCAATAAGTAACCGAGTCGTTTCGAACGTTCGAGGCGCAGATAACCGCTTACACGCTGAGACACACTAAGCTAAGCACTTACACGCTGGGACTTACGCGCACTAAGCACTTACTGTTGGGACTTACACGCACTAAGCACTTACTGCTGGGACTTACACGCACTAAGCACTTACTGCTGGGACTTACACGCACTAAGCACTTACTGCTGGGACTTGCACGCTGGGACGCACTGGACTAAGCACTGCGCTGGGACTTACACGCACTATGCACTTACTGCTGGGACTTACACGCACTAAGCACTTACTGCTGGGACTTACACGCTGGGACTTACACGCACTATGCACTTACTGCTGGGACTTACACGCACTAAGCACTTACTGCCCGGACTTTCTGGAACAGGTTGTCGTTACGTGGCCACGCTTGCTCATCCGGACTGGACACCAGCAGTGGGAGTGATGGCCAGCCGCGGGTGACTTGTCCCACGGCTTTGTTAACAGACAGCATTCTCCTCGGTGTGATTACACCACTCATTATTGCATCCTCCTGTCGCCGCTCGCTTCGTATGTACGCACGCTGCGTGCTCGATTATCTTGTTTGGTCGGGATTTACTGCGGCGGCCGGTGGATAACTGACGGCACAGCGTTATACTGCTCCGGCCTAGCTTTGTACTCGCGCGAAAACTTGTCTATTACCAGGTGCGAACGGCTTGTTGATGATGCTTAGCAGTAGTCGAGCAGTTCCGCTTTACGAGGTCTTGTTTCGCGAGCTCAGCGTGGATGTAAGGGGGGGTGCTGGCGCGGCTGCAGTCGTAATCAGGGCACGTACAGAAACGCGTGGGTGCCCCGCACCTCGTCTGGTCTACCTTCCATCAGCATCATCCCCACGAGCAGTGCTGACCAGGGTGAGTTTATAGTCGTTTGTGTTGTTGTTATTATTATTATTATTATTATTATTATTATTATTATTATTGTTTTTATTATTATTATTGTTGTTGTTGTTGTTGTTGTTGTTGTTGAATCATTATATCTTTATCTAATTCAAATACAAGTACATCTACTGCATGAATACAGTCATTTACATAGAGAACATATCTGATATGTGCGTAAAAAGCTGTTGAAATACCATAATTCTACAAACAACGTCTACGTTTGCCTAAGTATTTCTTATATTAGCGATAGAGTAATTAGTAATTTTCTTTGGATTTGTATTATCTACTCTACTCTATCTTGTATTATTGTTTAGATACTGTATGCATCTAAACGCGTGTGCTGTTTGGTCGGTATAGTTATAAGGGAAGGAATAGCTTTGTGTAGATACTGCGATGGTGATGCACACCAAACGGAAGAGTAATGGCCTGTGTAGGCAGCGGCGTCTATTTCACACGGATGAAGGAAAACTTTACCTTTATTTGCTGTGCTAACGTATGTACACTATGTGTTATATACTTATCTTGCTAAATGCAGGCACAGGTGCAGTCTGTGTGTGTGTGTGTGTGTGTGTGTGTGTGTGTGTGTGTGTGTGTTGTGTGTGTGTATGTAAGCTTAAGCCCTCCATCTTTGTAACCTAATATTAATCCCGGCTTCAGAGAGTGCGCGCTGTAAACACTGTTGTTTCCCTCAGCTCGTGATCTTTAGCGCTATGGTGATACGGGCGTTGTAGGGCGTAGCTACGACCACGAGTACAGCATGAATATTCCCTTCCCTTACCAGTACTAAGACCACAGTAGTGCGGCGATTAGCTCTAGAATTATAGCCCTTCGCTCTGCCACAGGCGTGTGGCAGAGCGAAGAGCTATAGTTCTAGAGCTATGCGGTGATGTCCAAGCCATCATTCAGTTCTATGCGTTCGCAACGTGATTCTAATCTTAATTGGAAGCTTTAAGAAACGCGTGTACACGTTATCAAACCGCTCGTGTAGGCGCGCGTACAATGGGCTTTAATCCCAGGATGGGCCATTTTTTTAATTAATTCCGCGATCAATTAACACCGTGCGCATCATTACACGCCCGTGCTGCCATCTTGCGCGCACATCTTCCGCAATATCGATGCTAATATGTCATCGTCATTATCGTGATTCTAATTTTTCGGTCGCTATCGCTGATTATTACTCATTATGCCGACGATCCTCAGCCTTCGCATCTCTCGGGCAGGATGGCTTCTTCATCCCGGCTCTCAAACACTCATTAGTGAAGATGCGCGATGTGGCATGCACCACTGCGCTGCTACTCTACGGGCTTTTCATGCGAGCGTGATTCCGTCTTTCACGTGTCTATACGCGCACACTGTGAACTGATTTGCTATCTCTCCCCGTTCGTTCACGCGCCTTCACCTTCTCCTAGATATCCTCCTCCTCTCCGTCACACTCTCCGCATCGCCTTCTCTCATTCAACATTCTCCTGTTGCTATTCTTCCCTTCTTTCTCTCTCCACTGATCTCTTTCTCTACGGTCGCCAGCCTCCACCTTCTTTCTCCTTCCCGCCTCATATTTTAACTAGGCTCTTTCTTCTTCCTTCTTTTCTCCTCCGCATCCTCATGCTCCTCATCTTCCTCCACCTCCCTCGCCTCCTCCTCTTCCATCACCTCTTCCCCCACTCTTCTTTTCCCCTTCCTCCTTTTTCCCATTAGCTTCACCCACCCCATCAGCATTCCTCTCTTTCCCTCCCCACCTACCCTCTACCTTCCTCCCACCCCCACCAACCTCCCCGCTTACCGCCCCTCTCTCCCGTCATCCGCCGCGCATTTGCCGTCTGCCTTCGCTGATCGCGTAAACGCGCGTCTTCATGCATGCTTTATGAACGTAATCACTCTTAATTTCTGCCGACCGGCGATCTCTCCGCGTACGCCCAGCTTCCCGCCGAATCTGTTTACCGACATCCCCCGGGGAAGGAAGACTCCCCTCCCCCTCCTCCCCCTCATCCTCCTCCTTCTCATCCCGCTCGTGACTACACCTTGAGTGGAGGCGAACGGATACGCGAGGGGAGCGAGGGTGAGTGGAAAAAAACTGGGCTTCGTCCCACTGTGGCAGCCACCGCGAGTGGATGAGTGAAAAAAACACGGAGCACCACGCACTCGATGAGTCAACCGCGTCTATGCTTCGCTGCTCACTTGCGCGCGCGCGTCTGCGCATGCGCCGCAGCTTCACGCGGCGGATGAAATTTTGATGATGTGTTGCGATGCGTGTGAGATCATGCGCGGATAAGCGTGGATATAGAGGCTGCATTCTCTACGTTTGCTACACATAGAGCAGTCCCGCACGCCCAGACAACTTGTCTCCGTGTGTATGTAGAGCGAGCGCGAGTATCTCTTTATGAAATCCACCGTTATTCAGTTGCTATCGCGATTCAATGGGATAGATATATGGGTCATTTATTGAGCACGATTTGGTATTAATGATTATGTATATTCGATCTCGAGAGAGAAGAGATTCGGGGTGCTTTTTGTTCGAGTGTGCATTTAGGAGATCAATCAAAGGGAAACGGGATAGCAGAGAAAAAATGGTGATAGTTTACGTGTAATATTCTTCTTTGATAATGAAGCTGGGAGGAGGGGAATGAGGAGGAGGAGGAGGAGAAAGAAGAAGAAGAGGAAGAAGAAGAGGAAGAAAAAGAAGAAGAAGAAGAAGAAGAAGAGGAAGTGAGGAAAGAGGCGAGGGGAGAGGAGGAGGCAGAGGAGGAGGGGAGGAAGGCAGAGGGAGGCAAGGAAGGAGGAGGAGGAGGAGGACGATGGTGGGGCTGGCGTCTACATCGAATTTATATCCCAAGTTGGAATCGTGAATCCTAGAGGCCTGCTAACTACTGAGATGTGTCCAAATACTATCTTGCTAGTTAGCGGAGCTTGACTGTAGTGTGTGTGCGTGCGTACGTGCGCGCGTACGTGCGTGCGTGCGTGCGTGCGTGCGTGCGTGCGTGCCTATGATGTGCGTGTGTACGTGCGCACGCGTGTGAGTGCCTATGATGTGCGTGTGTACGTGCGCGCGTGAGTGCGTGCGAGCGTGTACGCGGGCGTGCGTGCGCGTGCGAGCATGCGTGCGTGCGTGTGTGCGTGTGTAACCAGTTCCCGCTGGTGCAGATCGCGCGAGTTGCCGTCCGCGACGGCTCCACGAGGCTCTGACGGAGCTGTGACGCGACAGTATAATCCGACGTACCACACGACGTCGGCTACAGAGCTCACATCGCGTGCCGACCACCGCGAGCGAGCACAGATGGTCCTCCCCCCTCCCGCCCGTCTGAATGAAGACCAGATAACACACACGCGCGCAGCATAGGCGCGTGTCTTCACTTACGTGCATGCATGGTCGGCGGCGCGTCCCAGCTTTCACAGCCCAACACTGCCCCCGCTGCTGCATGCTGCATGCTGCATGCTGCTGCTACTGCACACACTACGCCGTGAATCTCTGTCGAGTGTCGGAAAATATTTTAATTGCCCCTGCCGGCTGTTAAAAAAATGTTTGTTATGACAGTCGAGTTTTCCGCTCGACTGGCTGCAGGAATTTATGGTGCGTTCGGCCGACGGGCGGATGTTGTGTAGGCCTTATAGCCTGTCGCGATGCTTCGTTATCACAGGTTCTCACCGTTGTTTTTTTGGCTTCTAGTTTAAGTAGAAAGAACAGGAGAAAAAACACATAGAAGTATGAGATACAGAGTAAAGCAGCATTGTTAGTGTAGTTTATCGTACCCTGTGTGGGGCAGCGGCTCTGGGTTAGAACCCTGGGTGTGGCAGCGGCTCTGGGCTAGTACCCTTGATACGGCAGCGGCTCTGGGCTAGTACACTAGGTGTGGCAGCGGTTCGGGGTTAGTAACCTGGGTACGGCAGCGGCTCTGAGCTAGTACCCTGGGTGTGGCAGCGGCTCGGGGTTAGTAACCTGGGTACGGCAGCGGCTCTGGGCTAGTACCCTGGGTGTGGCAGCGCATCTTGGTTAGTACCCTGGGTACGGCAGCGGCTCTGGGTTTGTACCCTGGGTGTGGCAGCGGCTCTGGGTAGCGATGAGCAATCGGCGTTCGCTCATCCACCCAGCTGATTTCATCCCCCGGTGTCTTACAAAGCGTCATCCCCGCGCTATCCCGGCGTCTCCTCTGTGACTCAGCACAACTTTTGTCCCGAGGCATCTCGCGAGTAAATTCTTGCCGCGACGAGAATCGCGTCTCGAGGAATGCGTTGTTCCGCTTCCGGTTCGCCGACCGGAAATCCGCGCACCGGCGTGGATGCATGTCGTCGGCCGATTTCGGGTTTCTCTTTCGCTGCCGGCCGAATAAGTGTATGTGCATAGTAATTATTTTTTTTAAACTCACAGGAAATTAGGAGAGACGATTCATCGTTGCGCAGCGAGTTGGGGAGGGGGGGTGGTAGGATGTGCATGAGATCATCGCGATACTGGCTCCTAGCGGCGGGACGTAGGGTAGTTTTTTATCTACCGTGGGACCTTACTGTGTGTTCATGGTAGTTTTTCTCTACCGTGGGACCTTACTGTGTGTTCAGGGTAGTTTTTTTATCTAGCGTGAGACCTTACCGTGTGTTCGGGGTAGTTGTAACCGTGGGACCTTCTTATGCTTTAGGGTAGTTTTTAATGCGGTGCTCTGCGTTAACGAATATACTTCGTGTAGAGAGCTAATAAAACTAGAATATAAATGAAATATACAGAAATATAGAATGAACTTGAAATTGAGTTAAAATGTCTCTCTAGCGTACAGACTCAATCCAACTGTTATGGCCTGACCATAGTTTATCTAAATACTATAAGTGAGTGGACTGAAACTAGGCTGCGAAGAATGTGCATACACTGGTTGTCTCTCTGTTCGCACGAGGTTGACTTGCATTTCAACTGTAGATTTCATTCTCCGATATCTCTCTCTCTCTCTCTCTCTCTCTCTCTCTCTCTCTCTCTCTCTCTCTGTGTGTATGTGTGT